CACATATGTTACATTAAAGAGAGTATGCACAAAGTTTCGCGAGAAACTAAAGTACTTCACTTTATGGTGATTGCTTATTCTACTATTTTTATGTATTTTTTTTTATGTTTTCCTCCATTTCTGTTTTTTTTTTTTAATATCTATCATATCGCTATCTTACTTTATTACATGTGTTTTCGAAAAATCATACAGCAATTTTATTCCGTCTGAGATTAATCGGCAGTAGAATATATTTAGTTTACAACGAATACAGTATGTTATTATTAACAATTATTACAATTGTTAGAAATAATATGATTTATATAATCATCTATGGCAAGGATCGGCTCAACTGTAAGTCTGTAAATATGAATTTTAATAATCGTAAACAGTTACATTAATAAAAAAGAAATATTTTTAATAAAATAATAATAGTACACGAAAAATTCAATGAAACAAATGACTGAATCATATTAATAATAGGCTCAAATAAAATATAAAAGTTATATTTTTCAATTAGTTACAATTTTTCAATATTAATTCATAATTGCAATAATCATCGTAATTTGGTGTTTCTATCAAGTCATTGTCAAAACACGCACTCTAGCGTATATTATTGAGTGTACATCGTTCATTATGTAGATATTCAAAAATTTTAATGATTACATCTGTCTACACTTTAAAGTTTGCAATAATAGCAATAACAATAGTAATACTGGTAAATTATATGGCGCGGTAAGCATTTTTTTATCTCGCTTAGATATCTAATACATGTATATACTTTATATATATATATATATTTCTTTTTCTTTTTTTTTTTACCTACCTAGTACGTATACTAAAATTCATTATTGGAAATCTACAATTTGATAATTTTTGCAATACCCAAAGATTCAGTATGCACACAATTCATTACAATTACAGTAATGATACCTCTTTTTTACAATCAATATTGTATTGAACTTTTAGTGAATTCTGATTATATTATAGACAGTAATTCTTACTATGCATGCTTAGGATAGTTATATTTTTTTATTTGATCAAATAAATATGCACATAAAAATTCCTAAAATTTTTTGTTATATTTCATTTTATTTTAGTGTTTTTTTTTCGCAAGGTCCTCTTGCAGAGATATCATATCACGTATTACTTTTATCGTTCTTAAATGTAATTTCATTACATACATAGTAAGAGAAAAAGTGAGTGCTTCACTTAGTTCTGACGACATTTCGAAAAGAAGATCAACCGAGTGTTCTTATTTATATATAACGTTATAAAATATACAGTTCTATCCTATTCAAAGAAATATCAGCACATGTCATGAACTTAATAATACCAGTAATGTAACAATCATTCGGTACTCACTGAAAACATAATGACACACGCGGTATGCTTAATAAATAAAAAGTGCATATTATTTTGATAGTGAAAGAGTATACACGTATGAAAAAATGCAAATTAAAATTATCGTTAACTAATAAAAATGTTTAAAAAAAAACTTTTATATAATAATTATATAAAATAATAGTAATAAATGTTCAGTTAAATCGACTTATTGATAGAAACTTTCGAGAGTAAGTCGTATTTAAAATCAAATAAAAGTTAATATCTACTTTCCTAAAAAATAATAGAACCCTCACACGCTCTTAACACGGATATGGTACCGTCTTAATCCCATCTAAAATACCCTCTTGATTTTTTAATCAATCAACTAATTAACTAATCAGTGTACTTTTTGACTTTTGATTACGGGATACTTATATCCTTGGATACGACTTACACTCAGTAGCTTTTATCAGTAACTAACGCGAGAAACTGGATCACGATGACCTCGAGAATCTGATTCTAAAATCGAGTCTATAGTAGCCACCTTGTATACCGTACAAAATGCTGGATTTACAAAATTCACCAATGATTCTATTTTTCAAACATTAAAAAATAATAAAATACTGTAAATCTTGTAGAAACTACTTTAAAATAAATAATTTTTTGCGATTGATCATTTATGGTATTGCTGTTATAAAAGCACTGACCTAACAACTGTCCACAAAACAAATACTCTTGTGACGACTATACATTCGATAAAAGAGAACAAAAAAATCATTAAATCGTAAATTAAATATTATAACAGGTACTTATACTGCAGTGTAATGATAACGGTTAAAATTCGCAACGTACCGTTAAACAAAAATGTTCAGCAGTAAACGATACGCTATATATACGGTTTAAAATGCTACAGATCTCTTGTGTCATATAATCACATAAAAATAATATCACGCATCGAAAAAAGAAAAACGAAGAGGACTTCTTAAATCGATAAAAGTGACTGAACAAGACGAATGTATCTTTAAAAAACAAAAAAAAAAAAAAGGAACAAAATAGATAGTGTTGTGCACGTAGAAATTCAACACCCTGTCCATATTCCTCTATAAGCAAGATAAGAGAATCTAAGTGAAAGCCTTAATTTGAAATCAGATGCCTCCAAGGGGGTGGATCGGGGGGTGGAGGCAAAGGGACTGGTTACGGTCGGGAATGACCTTTTTTCCTGCCACCTTCGTTGCCATCTTCCTCTTCACCGCCCCTTCTGACTTCAGTATACCGTTCACCTTTCACGCTCACGATCTTGTTATCAAGATAGCGCACTAACTTTTTTGGTTCCGTTTTCGGAGCTACTGGACGATGCTCTCGTGAATCGTCATCCCTATCAACGTAACTATACCGTGCAATGATACGCGATTTCAGTTCTTCGTCATTCACTCTGGCCTTGTTACGGCCGTTTGGCTGTCACAATATAATGTTTTAATCAACGGTAGTTGAAAGGAAATAGAATCAAGAATAGATGATCGAAATACTTACTGTTAAAAATGTAAGATTACTGACAATACTTTGTCCTGCCTCTTGCCGATGCAATGCAAGCTGTGCTGCCTTTGCTATGTCACCACTTGCAACTGCCAAACAATGTCTAGCTTCCGCTAGACTCGCAGCTGGAAACATTTCTTGCAAAAGTGCTACTTGATGCCAGGAAGATTCCTGCTGTGAAGGATAAATTGTTATACTTGAGTAAATAAGCGATTATTAAAAAATATAGGCAGCTTACTTCAGAAAAATATTCTCCGCTTGAATCACTTCCAGCATCGCTTGTTTCTGAGAGATGATGAACTCTCATTCTTTGTGTACCAGGAGGTAATAAAGCAGTTAAGCTAATATGACTTAAAGGATCATGAGGTTGGCAATTCTCATTCTCCTTACTCTCTTGCCGTAATTTACTTTCAATATCCAACAACCATTTGGATACTGCTTCTTTTTCAATGGTAGAAAATTCAGGAAGACAAGCAGATACCATTTCGCATAATCCATCAACATCTAAATCTTCCTCCAACGCGCTTTCTTCTACCATACTCACCACATAGCTTAAAACAATGTCGTCTATTAAACTGAAAAAAATAACTTCATAAATTACATAGACAATGTATTTATAGATCCATAATAGGCAAGAGATGTTTTCTATGGTTATCTATTCTTTAATGTTTGTACCTTAACTGGGCAGTGGGTACTTCCTTTCTCACAAAACTAAACAAAGACTTCTTCACTAATTCTTCCTTTTCATCCATTGTACGATTCATCCTAAAATAATTATGTATCAATTTAGTCTTTAAAAAGGCATTCACTGTTAATACATAATTAATTTAGTATTTTCTCATTGTCTCATTGAATTACAATATTTTTAAGACAATTAATTATTAAATATCTTCTACAAAATTACTTAAATTATTATTGTTTAATAAAACTTTCGTTTTATAGTTAAACTAATTTTCCAGCAAATGGTTTAATATATATAGCTATTTCCTTCTCCCTGGAGAATAAATTACAATTTATGAATTACAATGTTCGCGTACGAACTTGTCACATCCGTTCGATTAATTACGTTGTAAATTTTAATCATATCGGCATTGAGAGTTAATAAATGATGTAAACGTTCGAATTTTATTTCAAAAACTTCGATTTTGTAAGTTAATCACAGTTGAACGATTAGCATCCTACCTAGGTTAAGAAAAATAAGGCAAAACCGATAACATAGAATCTACGACGAACTTGGATTTAACAAAGAACCTTCGTCGAAGCCTTAATGCTTTATAAGAAATGAAGGGCATTATTTTCTAGCGTGTCGAAATGTAAAAAATAAATGAAAAGGGTAATTGTGAAAAACGCAAAAGGACAGGAAGAAATTGATAGAAAGGTGGTAGCAGCGCCGGTCACCTCAAGCTTTAACATCTACGTCCGTCTCTGAAGACGAAAGGATTTCGTGAAAAATCCGTTAATATAATCCATTGTAAAAATGCAGAGAATACGAACCTGATCTTATTTGCTTTTTTCAAAATCCCTGGATTATACTTGAAGCTTAAAACTGATAAAAATTTCGTATACAAACAACGTTCCTCGATTTGACAGTTCGGCAAGGGGAGGGGTAGAGATCATGTGGCGCCATCATATTGTGCGACCCACTTTGGGATCAAATCAGCAATTTCAACAATAAGAATTTAATTATGGAACGAATTTAAAAATAAATATCCTCACACTGAATAAAATAATAGTCTCTACTTCTAACGAACAGTGAATATATTTTTTTCTAACTAAATTTTCATATATATATATATTGTATTATTATAAGTACAAAGAATTCGATTTGTTGAATGCCAATATCGACCATGGTTACCCTTCAATTTCTATAGGTATGACATATAAATTTTAATTTAAATATTTAGAATCGATTTAAATAAATAAACGATTATTTATTCATTCATTGTTGTCAGGTTTTTAGAATTATACAAATCTATTTTAATTGCAATTATTAAATGAATATTATTATAATACTAATTTATAATTATGCCAAAACTTTGGTCAAGTAATTTCTGAAAATACGGTATCTTTTAATGAGATAAAATCAACATAACAATCTAAATTTTATATTCTTTTAAACTGCTAATTCTAATATCATTTTTAGGGAAATTGTAAGAACACAGTTTTATTTGCTATATACTGCTATAGCAATTTATTTATAAGACATAATTTCACATGTTATAATGTACATATACTTTCCGGTCATATACGAATTTTTTACAATAAACGTAATTTTGCAACTATTTTCGATTTAATACGTATCATATACTTAGAATGCTTACATTTAAGCATAATTTGAAACATATATAATTAATTAATTCCAAATTAATTTAAAATAATAATGATAATCTAGGAACCTAAAACAGGTGTTATAACGCAACAGAAAATATGATAACAAAGAATTATCAATCTACACTCCAATGAATCCATCTTACAATCTTATCTAATGAAAAGGAATTTTTATCACACCTTATAAATGCATCGATTTTTCATTGATTCAGTAACAAAATTAAATATTTCGATTCGATAAAAATTATGAAAAGATTGTAAAACTTATTAAATGATGTCAACAGGTGCAACTAAAACTTTCATTGTGTTTGTACATATCAGATTAAAATACAGAAAGTTTACTTTCTTAGAAACAATTTAAGAATCGATTAATTAACGTCTAATCGACCACCGATATTGGTATACGAATTACAATTTTATGGAAATATAAAAGTATGGATTAACTTTTACGCAAATAAATTATGATTACACTTAAAGACATTAAAGGTCATGTACAATACTCGGTTCCTAAGTGTCACACAATAAAACTGGTTATACATACTTTTATAAATATGTACAATTAATCAATCATTATCGTTTAAATCGTACTTTCCAGCGTAATCGATTGTATAGAAATATGAATTTTGAACAATGAACTCGCAGAAAACGCTTGAAAGATATACACGTATATATGTATAGCTGCTACAATTCATATAGCAAGTGGTAAAAATAGTTTTACTTCTTCAACCGCATATATTCTTCTATTTACAACATTAATGAAATATCCTTTCATATTTCTCTAAGAACGAACGACTGAGTTTTGATACATATATTTGTTCAATCGGAAACGAAGCTTAAAAGCTTGTTGCAATGATAGATTACGTAAAACAATATCACAAAAATAATATATGTATATGTGTTTAAAAGTGAATCGATAAAATGAATCTCAGGCGAAGAATTTGTAAGGTACTTTTATAGCAATAATAATTAACCCTAAGAACCTTTCAAAAAACTAAAAGCTCGAAACGTAAATCTCGTTAAATTCTTTCTCATAAACAATAATTGAAGCACTGAATATTATAGATCATCTTACTAAACAGGTTTTTTCTCTTTTGAACATGGTTCCTTTTCATTTTCGCTTCTTTCACCGTCTTCAAGCTCGACAGAACTATAATCTCTAGATTCCTCTTTGTTATCCTTATTGGATGCCGTTTCCGTTTCTTCGACTATGTCTTGTTCCTGGTCTAAAAAGTCTGTAGGTACAAATTCCATTTGGTCCTCGCTGTCGTTTATATCCGGTGGTTCGGGTATCTCGCAGAAATTAATTTCCCTTTCGCCATCGATCACCTCGTTGCCACCCGGATCATCCTCTTCGTGTAAACTCATTAGTTTGTCGAAATTCGACGGTGTCGAACAGTCTTCGGTAGTCTCGGGGAATATCTCGGTTGGGCTTAAAGGTATATCCAGCGGTTCCATCTTCACTGTAACACCCGGCGACGTAGGTGTTACGGGTCGTTGTAAGCGTATCTTGGTAAATGGTTTTGGTTCGGTGGGTTCTGTATGTTGTCGCTTTTGTGCACGTTTCGGACTAGAAGGCGTAGTAACGCCAGAAGTAGAAGCTTTCTCTTTGGTCTCTGATGAGGCTCGAGGAACTGGTTGAGATACTGGCTTTGATTGCGGTATAAGTAACGGTGGCTTTGGATTCTGTAACGATTCATTTCATCAGACAAGTGTATCATTATTTTTTGGAAGGGATAGAACAGTGGTTTTTCACCTGAGATGAAGGATTTGGTCCAGCTAATCCTTTTACTTGTAATGCTTCAGCTGCATTCAATAGTTGTGGCAGTTTATCATGGGCAACGTTAACTTCACCGCGATACATAAATTTGACTAGTGCTTCAACCTCCCAGAATTTCAGATCTTTCATTAAAATAATCGGATGCTGACAGGGGTTTTCGCGTAATAAATCCGCTAGATAATCGCTGCACGACGATAGTATCATCTTGTGACATTTTAACGAACGGCCTTCACAGGCCAAGGTAACATCAACGAATTGCTCAGAGTCTAACAAAGATGGGAAACTGTTTTGCATGTTGCTATGATAACTGTTCCATCTTAAACAAACCTGAAATAGAAAATTATGATTAATTGAATGTATGTGCGATTTTATATCTTTTACTTTCATTAAATTGATCTATACCTCTGTAGGCTGTTGGTGTACAATGTTATGAGGTAATCCTTGAGTGGTTTGTCTAGGTGGCATTTTAATGGTTGTAGGGGCAACTTGTTTTACTTTAAGGGGTATTGTTTTTAACACAAGTGTCTTTGGTTGTCGTTGCTGTTGCTGTTGTTGCTGTTGCTGCTGTATAGGTGCAGGCGCAATATTCCTGAGGTGAGGTCTTACCAAGGACTGTGCTGCTATTCTTATAGTTTTACCAGTTGTATTGGACTGTGATGGTGATTGTAATACTAAAAAGAAAGAGGCTCTCGTTATTCATAATATAAACAACCAGATTCACAAGAATACTAACGATAAGAAAAAGTACATCTTCCTATGTTACAATGATTCTCCAGAAAATATCAAAAAGGAGTCCCAACAAAATACAAACAATCGCACAGACTGTTTGATACTCAAAAAAAAATTAAAAAAAAAAAAAAAAAAAAAAAAAAAAAAAACAAAAGTAGAAAGCGTATCAAATACAAATTACAATATTATTTATGTAATGCGTACAAACTTTATTCTTGTATACTCTAAACTCATACACAGAAACTACAGTATTTTTACCAACAAGTCCAAACGATTGTAACTATTGTTACACAATGTCACTTTCTCCTGATGAAAATCACCATTGAGAACCAACTATCATTACCGTGATAGCGACTGCCAATGAGTCTGCCACCGTGATGTACCCTAAGGTGACGATGAAGGTTCGTGGTGCCACACTGTCGTGGATTAGCACCGCCTCTGACCACGACCGCTCCACATATACGGCACTGTGCACGCAGCGGATCGTTCGCGCACAAGTCAAAATGTGCCCAAACCGCGCTCGGGTTGGTCATAGCACGAAGACTACGTGCATGTGAACGAACACGATGCGTGCTAACCGTATGACGGTTCGTCAACGGAGGTGGCGACGAAGAGGACATTTCGGCCCCCTCCAGATAACAATCATCCTCGTCCTCCGGTTCCTGTTTCATGGCTATGTCCTCGAGCCTGATACCCTCCAGGATATTCTCGTTCGAAGACGTGGCGGTGACGGTTCGACGATTTCTGTCAAGTTGCTCCTGCAGGAGACGGCGGGCAGTCAGCTTCACGGTGTCCTTACAGGCCACCAGTACAAGCCGACCCGCCGTCGTGGCCGTTTTGCTCGTTTTCGCGCTCTTTTAGATCCCGATTCAACGCTGATCGTGTTCCCGTATGTTCTCTCTACGGGACGGAAAAACACGCGACATTCTCAAAACACTATCAAAGATAAATATCCTTTTTCGGACGATTTCATATGAAAACATTTTTAAATGATTTGCCCCCGAAATAATTTAATTAGATTACGATTGAGGTATGGTCGATGATAAATACAGCATTCAACTCGTTTCGAATTGAGGGAAAAATCAAAAACCATGTGGTTATTATTAAATGACGATTCAATGATAATCAACTGAGCATTTCCTTTTATGAGAATGCGAATGAGAGGTATCGAGAAATAAAATACTTTTTATTATTTCATTATCCGATTCTACCCGAAACAATACATCGTTAAAATATCCAGTAAATTCTCAATTTTTCAATATAGGATCATTATACCTGGTAAAGTGTAGATTATATTGCATAGTTTTAAATATATAATAGATATGTTATTTCTATTAAAAGAGCCAACAATAGTCGTCTGGCGAATAGATAAAACACATACGCGCGTTTACGCACTATCTTTCTTCCCTCTCAAGGTTTTTCTATTGCTCCCTCCTCTTTTTAGCACACCGTGTCATTCAGCAGACGACGTACGGATAATACGTATTAACGATTTATCCGATGAGAACGTGCGATAGTACGGTACACGTATATTACGCAGACAGTAGATCGATATATATTATACTGAAAAATTGAAAGCATAAAATCGGTAAAACAAAAAAAAAAAAAAAGGAGAAAGAATTTTTTCTACAAATCTATATGCATAATCGTAAACGATCCAAAAACATTTTACACCATCTGTAAAGCCTTTCTTCTCTTCTCTTCTCTTCTCCCCCTCTCTTTCCTGTTTCTAAATCTCCCCTCCCTTTAGCCATCTACAAACGACGTTTCCGTCTACACGTTCCCTCGGATCTTACTCACTCCGTTTCTCTCATTCTATCTCTTTCGCATTCTCTTATTCGCTCTTTTCTTCTTACTTAATCACTCCCTCTCTCTTTCTTGCCTCCCCGAAGATCTCTTACGAGCGACCGGCTATAAAATGGCAACCGTTGCGAGCGAGCACGGGTATCGAGTGGCACACGCCGCTGCTACGTTGCTTGTCTACCGTACCTCTGCTTTTTTTTTCTCCTTCTGTCTTTGTTCCTCTGCTCGTCGTTTCTCGCAAGTATCACTTAACCCAATCGAATTCGTTCGATTCGCGGCTACGAACCGATTCGATTTCGTGCTGCGTCCCGTCAACGAGAGCCGTTGTTACCGACGACGACGACCACGCGACAATTTATCGATCCTCGGACCTAACGATTACCAAACGGGTGATATTCGTATTTTTCACGTATGTATATCGAAACTTTACCTCTTCTCTTCGATATTCTCGATAAAATCGACACACTAGCCTAACTGTGTTTTCAACCTGTATATCTTATCTCTTTTGCCGTGCAAACGTTCCACGATTTACCGGTATCGAATTTTTCGTTGTTCCTTGTTCACGGCGGCCGGGAGGGACACAGAACCGCTAAAAATTCTCGTTCTTTCTCTGTTTCGTGTGGTATGCCTTCCGAACGTATATAAATATATATGTATATTCGTCACGACCGGAAGATTGTTGCCGAACGCAATGAAAAATAGTGTTAGCGAATAACGCGTCTATCTGAACTCGATCGACAGAATCGTTACTAACAGCGTAACGTTTTCTTCCCAACGAGTTTCGACAGTGCTCTCTCGCTACGAGAGCGGAACGATTTTCCTCGAAGCCGAACCCGGGAGTGACTAAAATCGAAATCGGTGAACGAACAGGGGCGCGTCAGGGCGCGCATGTGCGACGGCGCCGCCGGTCGTCGACGCATATTATCCGTACCGTGTTTCGTGTTGCTATCGTGTGCGCGTTCCCGGGTCTCTCTTCGCTAAGGAATTACTAACCGACCTGATCACGTTCGACTCGCTCGGGCTCACCGCACGGATTCTCATCGATCGGCAGCTTCTACGGCTCCCTTTTTTTCGCGCGCATCTTCAAGATGCCCGCCATCTTAAGACAAAACACAAGAACGCAATTAAAATGCGTCGCTCGTTAGTCGACTTATCGTTTTCACATTCTAACGCGGTCAATTTCAAATTTACCAAACCGATGATGGGATACTATACGCGATTTTCGTTCGTTTCAATCGCATATACTAATTGGACGATTATTTCATGTTAAAATTCATTCTTTTAATGAAATTTTACAATTGTAATTTCAGTAATATACAGAAAACGATCCTTTAATTTTAATATTTGGAAAGTTATTTATTTTTAACAAATTTTAATCTTTAACCATTAAGCATTTATTTACTACTAAAATTAAGGAATTAGATTAACTCTTCTGGAGAACCATTCAACGAAATAATATTCTGTATAACAATTTATTAAATACATTAAAAGCTAGAAAATAAATTGAACAAAACACGCATTTAAACGTAACACATTATAATACAATATTGTTTAATAAACACTTACCTTTTCTAGCTGTCGTTCGCGTGGTCCGCCGTCTTCCTTCCTGCTCCTCTGGGACATCATTTTCTTTATGGATCATCCGTTGTGGTGCATTCATAGAATTCTGATTCCCTTCTAAATCTGTGGAACACGTGACGCTTTTATAATGGTAAAAATAATAATATTTTGCTTCGTCGATGTTCTGTAGAGAAGACGAATTAAATGGACGTTGGACAGAAGATCGTAAACTCACTTGTTAATACGCAAGGTTTGCCAAGAGCCAAGTATCGTTTCCTGGCAACCTGAGCGGCAGCGAAGTCTGGCTTATGGTTGTGCTCCATACGTACCCTCGGTTTTGTACAACTCGTAGTCGTGATAAGGCTACCTCTACAATGCATCGTTCTGCCAACGCATCTCCATCGTATATTATACGGTTGCTTTTTGTGCAACGTGTACATAAAACCGCGATGGATCAATTTTGGCCCTCCCTTGTTTGAGAGGACTACCTACAATTTATACAAATGGCTATTACATTAAAAGCAGGTACCTAAAAATTGTAAGTATGATCAAAAATATTTTCAAGCTTCGCAAGATTTCGTACTTCGGCAACGTTTGGATCATCTTCGCCGGAATTCTCAGTTAGAGGAAACGATGTAGAAGCCTCTTCCTCGATCTTCACTTTGTTTTCGTTGGACGCACTTTTCACGCGTTGCGGCATCTTGTTGTTCCTCATATTCCTATTTTATTCACTAGTGTAATCTTACTGCACCATTTTTCTTGTATACCATTGACCTAAAACAACAAAACTATAATTTAATATTAAACATTTAATCTTTTTTTAATGTTCAATTTTCTACCTTTTACGTTCTTATAAATAGATTATAAACAGATTTCAGTTTGCGCAAAAAAAAAATATTCAAAAATATAGTTTTACGTATTTAGCCTTTCCGAGCAAAGTTAACCGAGTTAACGACATTTCAAGAACAAGAAACGTTTTATCTGTCAGCCGTTTAAGCTTCTGTTGTTCATCAAGAATAAGACGATTCTTTCATTATATACCGATGCCACGATTTTCGCAATTGCCTCCGCCTGCCTCGGCTTCTGTTACTATGAAATCGCTTAAACGTCTGCGTACCTATGCACGGTCCAAAAATAGAACGAGACAGGAGATGAACAGAAACGGGTCTATAGAAGCTGGGAAATCGTGCGCGCTAGAAATCTTAGCGTGCTTCGTTTTCTTTCTTGAAACAATTATTTTCTTATCGTTTCGTTTTCCTACTGTTTTTCTCGCTCCTCATTCTTTGATACGTCATCTGTTTTGAAGATGAATACTTTTGTATTGTTATATATATATACACATATATATATATGATCTGCATTAATCGTGATGGAATGCAAAGTATCTTAAGACGTTTAAACGTCTGTTTTAAAAATTAGAAAAACTACCGCAGAGTTCTTCTTGTTTCAACGCCGTAAAATGTTATCATTTCCGGAAAGAAACGTTCGCTTCCGGCGAACATGAAACTGAGGAACTTCAGTATCTTCTAATGTAAGACTACATTCAGCATTTTTTTTTTTAAATATACATATTTGATCAACTTTCTTCGTGTTGAATTCTACCATTTATCAAATGATTATACTTATAATGAATTAAGTATTTAATTATGTGTAATTAAGTAACAATACTCACATATTATTGATACGATATTCTATTTACAAAATCCGTAGGAGCGTCCGCTACGGCGATACACGCGAATAAGATAGGACCAGTTGAGAGAATAAAAATGGCAAGTAAAAACAATCTTTAACTCGTAGCTTTTTTTTTTCAAATAATTTTAATCACACTTGATGATTCTCGATCACGATCAAGATGAATCGATATACAGTAGCTCGCGTAACAGTCGAAGTTAGGTTATAGCCGTTTTCATTGTAACTGTTGAATGGTCAACGAAAATGGCGAAATGCTGGTGATCGGATCTTGCGCAATAAACGCCACGCTATGGAACGAGAAATATGGCACTGGATAACCGCAATCGATGAACCTATGGCACCTGTGTTTATTCATGCGATTTGAACGATAACTTGACACTTTTATCGTTCATCTTATAATAATTTTCTTTTTCATAAGTAATGTGCTTTCCATCTACTCTACAATGTAAGATTTAAATACATACCTGTACGATATGCGCGTGTATGGAAAAAACTGACAGCAGCGACACGGTTGCACTTTAACTAAACACACACATATGTATGGTGTACGTATTTATACCTTTTGATATGTACATTTTAGCATACCATGAAAGATTTGTTTATTCTATGGTTGGTGGTTGTAAAAAAGAGATGGACGAAAGAAAGAAAGAAAGACCGTCTCGTTTTAGTCCTGTTAGGGAACTTGTCGGTAAGGCTACCTAGCCGGTTCGCGCCTTAGACGAATGATTGTTAACATCTTGTAAGTTTAGATTTCTTTTTACATCGAAAAAGATTACTGAGAGAACTGTGTTTAAGAGTTTTTATAATGGACGCCATAAAATGACCAGTTTTCAATTGGAAGGTAGATAGTATAATAAAGGGGAATGAACTGGATAATGCTGAAGTAAAAGGTTTAATATTAAAGTAATAATGAATAGGTGACATATGTAGGAAAGGATAACTAGTGACGATTAACGAGATTGTTATTACAGATATCCTGGTAGCAAGTGTAAGGATCATTGCTACAATTTTTAATGGCCACATTCAAGTTCGTTATAGTCGCGTATACGAAATAAGGAGATTCTGGTTTAGTAAAATTGAGAACATCCGTATCGTTACGAATAAAAGCTGTTAATAGTTAGCTGCATAATCATGTTTTGTCATTGAACGAAGTATAGTAAGAGGATGTGCTGTGATATTCATGGAACTTTGAACTACTTATTAATATTGATTATTACGTTAATGAACATCCTTTAATTCTTCAGTAGGTTTACTCTGACTACTTTTACATACTCAATAGTCTGTCTCGATTTTGAAGTTATCTATGGATGAACTGAATTTTTCAATGAAGATCAAACTATACGAAATCATAGTAAGTACAAAAATCTTTGTTCTTGTCACTTATATGGCGTTCGAAAATTTGAAAATTGACCATCTTTTCTTCTACGGTAGCTGCAGTTATCTTTTCTTGCTACCTGCATATTCTACGTTAACTGACCAATGCACAATTAAATGTGTTCAACTACATTTGACTATACAACATCGCTGCCAGATGAAGACTTTATAATGAAGCTTTCTTATTCGACCATTTTCGACTTATTTCTGGCAACGGTGACTGATACTACATCCTCTATAAAATCACTAGGATAAGGATGAAGAATATAATTATCCGCTTCGCGCTTCGGCGCGTTAGACCAAATTAAAACCTTAATTACAGTTTAATTTCAAAACTAATTCGACATAAAAAGCAGTCCCGAATTCGACCATTGCGCCATCCATATACAAACAACGAAAACTACTCGATAACATACCGACAGGTTTACCGAAAGCAGATAAACAACCAGCGCCATCTAATAAAAATCGGCGAAATCTACTCGAAAATTGATCGAACGAGTTCGGTCAATATCGGGTCAGTATGATAATCGTACCTGTTTTACCAGTTCCTCTTTTACCGCATCTCGCATAGACTACTGAAAAGACATAATTTTGACTCCCTCTGACCATTTTTTATAAATTAATTAAAATTAGTACAAGACCGAAACATCATTAAAATAGTTGTAAGATAAACTTGTATTGACCTCACGTGCCTTGATAAATAAATCATTTTAAGAAAGCAACTACGTTATTATTTAATTTATCCAATTTCCTTTCCGAATTATTTATTTAATTTGCACAATTTCTGTTCTGGGTTATTTATTTAATTTACACAATTTCTGTTCTGGGTTATTTATTAAATTCACGTAATTTCTTTCCTCAGTTGTTTATATATATACAACATTCAATAACTGATTGATTTTTAATAAATTAAAAACATAATATACATGAAAATCAAACTTAAAACACAGTAATAACCGCTCAAAATGAGAAATTTGACCTAAATCGAGGTGCGACCTTCTTAGTCTTATACCGACAGCCGAGGGATGCGGATCAACTTGACAAACATACTCTCTAATTTCCTTTCGAACTTTATTTAATTTATCTGCATCCCTTACACCCTCGCATCACTTACATCTCCGCATCCCTTACATCCTTATATCACCTACATCCCTGCATCCCTTACATCCTTATATCACTTACATCCGTACATTCCTTACATCGCTTCATCCCTTATATCCCTACATTCCTTACATATCTTTATCTCTTACATCCCGACATTCCTTCCATCTCTTCATCCCTTACATCCATGCATTCTTTTCATCCCTATATCCCTTACATCTCTGCATTCCTCACATTCCTGCCTTCTTTATATCCCAACATCCCTTACATCCCTGCATCCCTTACATGCCTGTATCCTGTACATCCTTGTATCACATATATTTCTGCATTCCATACATCCCAGTACCTCCCTAAAATTGAGTTGAAATTTTTGCGGCTATAAGGCCTGGGATTTTATACAAATTTGGTTCCTTTTTTCACCACCAGAGGGCGCTGATCCACCATTGAAATTTTAGTTCACATTTTTGCCGCCAGAGGGCCAGAAATGGAGCAAGGTTTAGTTCCCCTTTTCGATACCAGAGGGCGCTGATTCGACATCGAAATTTTAGTTCACATTTTTGCCGCCAGAGGGCCAAAATTACGGCATGCTTTAGTTCCTTTTTTCAAAACCAGATGGCGCTGATTCGACATCGAAATTTTAGTTCACATTTTTGCCGCCAGGGGGCCAAAATTACTGCATGCTTTAGTTCCTTTTTTCAAAACCAGATGGCGCTGATTCGACATCGAAAATTTAGTTCACATTTTTGCCGCCAGAGGGCCAAAATTACTGCATGCTTTAGTTCCTTTTTTCAAAACCAGATGGCGCTGATTCGACATCGAAAATTTAGTTCACATTTTTGCCGCTAGGGGGCGCTGTTTTTTCGAAAAAAGGAATTAACTTACCTTTACTTACCTTTACTCGAAGCTGTCTTTATAATATATTTATTATAATGGATGCAGAGATGTAAGGAATGTAGGGGTGGAAAGAATGTAGGCATGATAAGAATGTTGGGATTTAAGGGATGAAGAGATATACGGAATGTAGGGATGAAAAGAATGTAGGGATGTAAGGGATGAAGCGATGAATGGTAAGGAATGTAGGGATGAAAGGAATGTGTGGGTGGAAAGAATGCAGGGATGTAAGGGGTGCAGATATGTTACGGAACGTGGGATGTAAAGGAATCCCGTAGGGGCCCGGGGCTGTGGCCCTGGTCGCCACTGCACGGGGCCCAAGTGGTGCCGGCAGCGGGTGTGGCCCCCGATGTCGGCGGAGGGTTAAAGGACCCTCCCTACCGCCCTAGTGCAGGTCACCGTGGCGGTTTTAGTGGGTAAAAACTCCACACTACCTCCTGCCCCTCCCCAGGGGGGCTGATGGTGTCTTTCTGAAGATTTCCACCATGTTAAGAAAAAAAATACCAAAAAAAAGGGTATTTAAGGGTTGCAGGAATGTAAGGAATGCAGGGATTTAAGGAATGCTGGGATGGAAAGAATGCAAGGATGTAAGGGATACTGAGATGGCCTTGGCCTATAATGAGGGATAAAATTATATAAATAACTGGAAAAAGTAAAATAAATGGGGTCCTCGGCTAAGACTCAGAAGCGCGATATAATCATAAATGTTATTCCCCTTCGATGAGCTTATTTAATAAGCAAAAAACATTAATGAGTTAAATTAAATAAACTCTGGAAACAAATTATACTGGTTGGCCCCTCTTTATACGGATCTGATATTATCTTGGGGTATTAGGGACCCCGCTGCGCCAATGACGCCATCTGCGTACCGACCTGATATCATATTGGGGTATTAAGGACCCCGAAACGCCGGTAACTATCTTTGCATACCAATAATATAGCATCCGGGGTGCCAGGGACCCCGAAGCACCAGCGACTATCCCTACATACCGACATAATATCATCTTGGGGTGTCAGGAACCCCAAAGCACCGTGATACTGTTTGCATACTGACATTTCGGCATCCGGGGTGTCAGGGACCCCGTAGCACCAATGACACTCTTTGCTTACCGGCACTATGGCATTCGGGGTATCTGAGACCCCAGGGTACCGGTGACGCCGTATGCCGATATTATGCCACCGGGGTGTCCGGGACCCCGAAGCACCAGTGATTGTCCCTGCATACCGACATAAAATCATCTTGGGGTGTCAGGAACCCCTGAGCACCGTCACACTGTTTGCATACCGACATTTTGGCATCCGGGGTGTCAGGGACCCCGAAGCACCGATAACACTCTGCTTACCGACACTACGGCATTCGGGGTATCTGAGACCCCGAGATACCAATGACGCTGCATACCGATATTATGCCACCGGGGTGTCAGGGACCCCGAAGCAAATAGCGAAATATAAGACCTAAAAACGAACAAATCGTGAAACTCACTTGTTCGGAATAGTGATGGGTATGACCGGATCTAGCGAAATATAAGACCTAAAACCGAACAAATCGTGAAACTCACTTGTTCGGAATAGTGATGGGTACGACCGGATCTAGCGAAATATAAGACCTAAAAACGAACAAATCGTGAAACTCACTTGTTCGAGGTAGTGATGGGTACGACCGGATCTGTAGCGCATGCGCACTACAATTATTTATTATAACACAAACTTGTAAAGGATTAAGAAATTATTCACTCACAAACAATGAAAATGATATATTTGTAAATCACAAACGATTTCCAATCAATTACAGTTATCAGTTATCACAAAATCTGTTTATTATAAAAAATTACTAAAAAGTTTCGGCTCACATCATGATTGAAATAAAATTGCTAATTACAAAAGAACTAATTTGTCATAAACATTAAAAATAGACTCACAATCAATCACAAACGATTTACAAACGAAATGCACTAAGAAAAATTAAAAGTAATCATATTTTATTATTCCTTTCTCCTCTGTCGGCTTGGAGCGCCATTTTCCTTGGAGGGACGCTGAGCATGCTCGTGGTGTGTCGAATGTATTTTTGCATATACTTTATATTGTTATAATAAATGTTAAATATGAACTGTACAATTGTGTTGAAATCATTAAAACAAATTAAACCTTCCAGTTCGTATTATAATTTGTCAAAGACCTTATTTCTTGGAAAATGTAAGAGTATATGTGTGTATAATTTCCAACAATGTCAAACATTAGGAGTCGATGTAACACAATCACAGATTTCAAAAGAGATTGTTAAAAGCAACAATCCTGACTTAAAACAGTTCAAAGAGTTATCAAAGAATGGGCCTTCCCTTAGAGATTTTTTGCAACCTGATACTGAAACTCTTAATCAACCTATTGTTGCTCCAGATATTCCTTATGTAAAAAATGTTGATGGCAGTGGTCAAAAAAGTAAGTATCTTTGATAACTGAATAATTATAAATGTAATTAATTTAACATTTTCTTTTTGTGTCTCAGTTTACTTTGAGGTATATGGTTGTCAAATGAATGTGAACGACACAGAGATAATATGGTCAGTTCTAAAGTCTCATGGTTATGAGAAAGTACAAAGATTAGAAGAAGCTAATATAGTTCTGCTTGTTACGTGTTCTATCAGAGACAATGCAGAACAGAAAATATGGAATAAATTACAGGGTTTAAATGGTATTAGAAAAAAGAAGAAGGGACCTCTTACAAAAATTGGTTTACTAGGTATGGACTAGGTAACATTATAAATGATTCATTGGATTGTATTTAATTTAAATAAATTCATTTATCTGTTAGGATGCATGGCAGAACGACTAAAGGATAAAATATTAGAAAAGGGAAGACTGGTTGATATAATAGCAGGGCCAGATAGCTATAAAGATTTACCAAGACTTTTGTCTATACCAAAAAATGAAAGAGCTATTAACGTTCTTTTGTCGTTCGATGAAACATACGCAGACATTACTCCAGTTAGATTGGATCCAGAGTCAACCAGGGCATTTGTGTAATTCTTTATTTTTTTTTCATAATAGAATGTTATATTATCCTGTCGTAACATATAATTTACAATTACCTAATATCATTAAAATACTTTTTAGTTCGATAATGCGAGGTTGCGATAATATGTGTACGTATTGTATCGTGCCGTTTACTCGAGGAAGAGAAAGATCACGGCCGATCGAAAGTATAATAAAAGAGGTTCAGTCGTTATCTGACGAAGGTGTGAAAGAAGTAATGCTTCTTGGACAAAATGTGAACAGTTACAGGGATACATCGCAGTCGGAATTTTACGCAACTAATACCGTAGAAACTAATTTAGCCAAAGGTTTTAAAACAGTATACAAAAGTAAGAAGGGAGGACGTCGATTTTGCGATTTGCTAGATCAGGTTTCTCGTATTAACCCAGAGATGAGGATAAGGTACTAAATATAGTTTTAATCTAAAGAGGAACTGTTGTTATGTAATATAATTTTAAAGAAAATCATTACGTTCAGATTTATATCGCCGCACCCTAAAGATTTTCCAGATGAAGTTCTACATTTAATAGCGGAAAGGCCAAATATTTGTAAAGAAATTCATTTACCCGCGCAAAGTGGTAATTCAATAGTATTAGAAAGAATGAGAAGAGGATACACACGAGAGGCATACATAGATTTAGTACATCAAATACGCGATATTGTTCCAAATATTCACCTTTCCAGTGATTTT